CCTCTATAAATGCACATTTTTCAAAAATTTTCCTATGGTCCCGAGGGGTGTGCATTTAGAGAGGGTTCACTGTATATTGTTGACTTAATTTGTAACAAAAAACATTAACAAAGGCCAACTACAGTATTTTGCTTTATATAAACTTTACACTTTTTTTTAAAGAAAAAAAAACCATAAAAAATTTTTTTAATAAATTAATAAATAGTAATTATTTTAAAAATATTTATTTTTTGATTAAATTATTATTTTTATTTTTTGATAACTACAATATAATTAATATAAAGTAATTTTTATAATATTTTATTAAAAAAAAAAACCAATTAATACTGTTTCGTTTAATCAAAACCATATTAATTTTTTAAAAAAAATGCTTAATATTAAAATCAAAAATCAAAATTTTTTTAAATCAATTATATTATGCGAACTAATTATTAATAATAAGTATTAAAATAATAATTTTATAAAGATAATATTGTGCATAATTATGATTTGTCAAAATAATTTATCCTGTTTTCAATATGTGATTTATTATAAATTTTTTTAAAAATTTCAATAAATTGAATTTAAAATATTTTTATAATTTGTTCATTTATTATCAAATAATAAAAATATATACATTATATTAAATAAAATTTCAATACTTATTAATTAATTAATAATCAAGAGTGAGTAATTAAAAATCAAAATTTTAGATTCTAAAAATCAAAATTATAATAAAAATCAAGATTTAATAATACATTTAATAATAAATTAAATAATCACTAATCAAATCAATAATTATATTAGTTGTTTAATATTTTTTAACAATTATTGAAAAGACAAGTTGTTAAGGTATAAAATATATCCATAAAGAACTATTTTCAAACAATAGATATTTTATAATCGTAACTTTCTATTGTCACAAATTTTCCACTGAGATCTTTTTAGTAATCACCCCACAATCTATCTTTCCTTGGTATTGGCATGCCGGAAATAGAAGTGGAAAGAACATGTGACTAGGTCATTTGACAGGACAAGACTGCATTATGTATTCCTACATTCATATAAAAATGATTAACGCTAGTTATCATAAAACAATGCGTAATCATGTCAAACACGCCGTTGCTCAGAAATTTTAATGGTTTTGACAGTAGAAATTCTTTTTTACGCATTAAAATTTCTGCAATAGTTTTATTATCATACTTACTACTGTCATTTACGTTTTCATCGCATATTGAATATCCCAATGACATATCGAGAATTCCATACGTATACCGTTTAAGATTTGAAAATATCTGGAATCATAATTATATCATTGAAAGCCTTTCAACAGGAAATTTAAAGGAACATGAGTTTAATGATGAGCATAAATCCTTAAATTCCGATTCTATTAATTATAAAAACGTTAAATCAGGATCATTAAGGCTCGCAGATATTAATGTTCCCTATTGGTCTCTTGGAAATTTTAATGTATTAGAATATCGATACAATCAAAATAACGTCGTCGACATCGTAACTACAGTTCGTACGCAGCTTAATTATACCATTCGAAATGTTAACATTACTTTCACAGCAGCCGAACAAGCAGCAATTATTGACCCAAATTCTTTAGAGGCGTGTGATTACTGGATAGATTGGACACAGAGAATGAACGGTTATATTTGGAGGAAATGCAAGCATGTGGATGAAGAGAATTTCACGAAAGTGTCTTATTTCAAAGGGTCTCCGAATTGGGGATTGGATTTTTGGAATTTAGACGAGAGTGTAAAATATGGATATAGTACACAAACTAGTTTTTGGTGGAATCTTAATAAGAGGTAAATCATCATTATCTTATTGTACAGTATTTTGCGTTATTTTATCCGGTTTATTGATTAAAATTTTCTCGTTATCCAGAGAAATATTTGTTAATCACTCCGCCCCATTCCCTCCAATATTTCCATCCATATACATCGCCTGTTATGACTACATATTAAGGGCTAAGAATAGCCGAGGAAACAGTTCAGATTTTATGACAAAAACTTGATTTATTTATTTTTTTTTTGAGCCGAGATATTCATATGCTAATAATACTATATTATAACCATGAGGATATTTATCATTTGATGATTTGCGCTCGAATGTATTCTCTCGCTTACATTTTATTGATCAATATTGAATCGAATAATCATATTTTATGTAAAAAAAATCGTTATTCAAATGATTTTTTGTTTTTATATTAGGAATTACATACTATTAGATATCAAAGTTGTTAAATTAAAATTTTATTTTATTAAAAAATTTATTGTATTCTAGATCACTGACTTTGTTAAATGATTTTAAATTCGACATCAGTTGAAAATTTTGCCATTATAAATTTAATTAAAATTTTTATAAAGAATTCACCAAAATAATTATTGAATATTCAGAAATTTTAAATAATACCTTTTAAATAAAAATGATAATTTGATTAATCGCGATATTTAAAAATTCTAATTTTTATTAAATACTGCATTAAAGAAATTAATTAATGAGAGTGCTAAAAATCTAATTTTTATGTTGCAATACACAGTATATATTGTATATAGATTTGATAAAATTATTGTTTAATTATATTATGATTTAAGTGAACTTGTTTGATTATTTTAAAAATAATTGAGTTTAATATTGTATAAATAAAACAATAAATACAATAAATACAAATAAAATAAACATAATACAAAATATATATATATATATGTATAATACAAATAATAAAACAATTGAATTGATTTTTTTAATAATTAATAATTTTTAAATAAATATTACAAAATTTCATGAAATAAAAAAATTTTATTATTTTATAATTATTATTTTTTTTACAAAGTGAAATACGTTTTTAATTATCAAATAAATTAATTGTTGATTATTCAATATACAGTATATTTATATATATTATTAAATTAAATTATTTATTTTATTGCAATATATTAATCAATAATTAATAACAAAAAAATATATTTAATTTGATAGAATAACTTGTACATCATTATAATAATTTGATTATATTTATTTATTTGTTTAAAAAAACAATTATTATATCAACAATAAAAAAGAATTGATAATATTTAAAAACATATTGTAAAAAAATTTTTTTCAAAATATAAATAAACTGTTAAATAAAAACCATTAAAGAAGATCAATAAAAATTATAATTAATATTTTTATTATCTTCGAAAATAATCATCCATAAATAAATCTAATTAAACGATGGATATCCTATTATAAAACATGAATTTACAGTATGTTGTTTATAAAGGATTGCTATCGGTGTGTAACCATTCGTTTATCGAGAGTTGACTGTATTATTATTGAACAATTGAGTTCAAACAATACTGTTTCTCTTTTTAAAACTCGCAGTATTTGCGATGATTTAACGGTAAAGTTATATTTTCGAGTGTATTTTTTATCGATTGCTTAAATACTGTAAATTTAAAATTATACGTATATCAAATTTTAAACAAAGATTTTATCCCCCCGTCATTCGACCAGAAATAGAAGTGAAATGAACATGTGATCAGATCCCATGACTAGAAAAAATTCATATAAAATCGACTAACAGTTATCGTAAGACAATGTAAATCATGGAAAACACTGAGAGAACGCCGTTAATCACAGATGTTGATGATTTTGACAACGAAAACAATAGAAAGTGTTTGTACCTTGGAATTTTTTCAGTAGTCTTATCAATAATTTTACTACTGTCATTCGCGTCTTCATCACATAAAGAATATCCAAATGACATAACGAGAATTCCATACGCGTATCATTTGAGATTTGAAAATATCTGGACTTATAATTATATTGTTGAAGGCTTACTAACAGACGTAAATAGAAATTCGAAGGAACATGAATTTAATGATGTGCATACTGACGATACGTTTTCAAATAACGATTCCGCTAACAACAAAAATGATAAATCTGAATTAATAAGGCTCGCATATATTAAAGTTCCCTATTGGTCTCTTGGAAATTTCGATGTATTAGAATATCGATATAATCAAAACGGCACTGTCAACATCGCAACTACAGTTCACACACACCTTGGTTATTTTATTCGAAATGTTGACATTACTTTCACGGCAGCAGACCAAGCAGCAATTATTAATCCAAATTCTTTGGAGGCATGTGATTACAGGATCACTTGGACATGGATAATGAATGGTTATATTT